TATCATGTCTTATTCACAAGTAGTGTATCTTTTTGATGTTCTGCCTTTCAAGTACAAAGAAATTGAAAAACTTGGCAATGGCATAAAAATGTAAACGCATTCCATAAGAACACCACAATGGGAATTGTAATCTTTTGATAAAGGCAATGCTTAGGGCAGCCAGAATAAGACAAAAGCACATGCAAAATTTTCCTGTGTTGTACAAACAAACACTCTGCATCTGTAGTGCTCAGCTCTGTGAGATATCACCGCTGGCAGGAACATTAAAAGCTGTCACTTCAATGCCAGCTCTGTGCTGAGGCTCGCTGCTGAAGAGAGAGAAAAAGGGATTCAGGAGGAGGAGGAGGGGGATTCGCAGTGCAGTGCAAGTCAGTCTTTGCAGCTCCAGCACCTACTTCACACCCTCGACTCTTCTTAACAGGGGAGCTGCTGGATTAAATTCCTGAGGACAGCAGAGTTGGTCTACCAGAAGCTGAGCCAAGCGTTCTCCTTATTGCCCACACGCTACACCGCAATGAGCGCAACAGAGCAGCAATTGACCAAGGTTAGTTCAGTTTAAGCAGTTATCATGGACTCCATAGTCGAGCAGAAAGACTTTCTCTACTTTGAGAGGGAATTTTGGCAAGTGTAGCATTCACAGCATTTAGTCAAACTGTGAAACAAATATCTATTAATGACTAATATTTATTTAGGATTTTAGCACTTTAGTATATAGGAATATCAAAAGATACATCTTATATGAAAGACCAGCTGCATCCTACTTTGAGTCTTAGCAAACACTTAGCCTCACTCTACTTTGGCTTCCATGAGAAAAAAAACCCTAGGAACTCTTCTCTTGAAAGACAGAAATACGCTTTGGAAAGAACTGAAAGCCCATGTCAGATTAGAAAGGGGCAAGTCACTGTCACTACATCCACACTGCAGGCATTTTTATGTTTGGGTTTTGCTTTGTTTTCTTTTTCCCCTGGTATAAGGCAGCATAAAAAAGATTCGTCATAAGGATTGCTGTATCAATGATTTTCACTACAAGCACTAAATGTGCTTTTTCTTAACTGCATGTGAAGGAGGAAAAAAAACCAAATTAACAAATTTCAGAATCATTAGCTTTTTGGAAGAGCATAGTGAGTGATGTTTGTAGAAATTATGAAAAGAATATATGAAAACTATTCCAGAAATTTTCATCTTCTTTCAGAGTCATACCTACAATGTAATTTGGAGAAGAAAAAAAGAAAAAAGAGAAAAGGTAAATAAATATATAAGTACTTACATAATGCATATGTATGTGTACCTGAAGATAATTTTGAATGTTCAGGTGTGTGTAACAAGGTAGTAGGTTTCTAGTATGTTTAAAAGGAATAATTTTCACTGAATGACAGTAATACAGAAATGTTTCGTGAACATGTGTTTATCATTAGAGATTTTTTCTAACTGTATTGAGCTATGGACAACCTCACACTTGTTTTGGCCTTTACCGATTCAAGTTTACATATTATTTTTCTCTACTTCAGAAGTCCGCTGTTTCAGTTACCCCAGATGAGTAACAGTAGCTCTGAGGATTGTCAGCTCTGAGATGCACTTCTTCAGTGTGTGAAGCCTCTAGCTAAATGCAAGTGGTTTGCATTCTACTAGTGGTGTGCACCCTGCAATTAAGAAATCCAAATCTCGAAAATCTCCATCAGTCATTCTACTCTGAAAAGCCATAGAATCATTAATTTTTATTAAAAGCTACAGTAACTATATAGATGTAAATGAAAACTGCATAGGATAAAGTGAAGACTCTGGTAGCTGCTCTTTCAAGTAAGTTCAGAAAAAGACTATTACTATCATAGAAGTTAGATCACACCTTGTTACCGTCCATCTCTATTCAACCATTTTCAGCAGGTATTTTCTCCAGTAGTAAAAGTTATAGATGTCTAGTACAAATTAATTGTTGTGATGAAAGATAATGCTTTGTGAAATGACTAGAAGCAGTAGGTTGATTTAAAGGTGGGATGGAAGCTTGCTGTTCCTAGGATATGGGCATTGTGAGGGTATATCTTCTGCATTGAAGAAAAAAATCCTATGATTAAGCACTACTGTATTAGAGTCAATTAATGTCCTACTTTCAGTCCACGTTAGAAAGCAGTCCTAATGATGCCCTAATCATTGCTAGCAGTCATGAAACTTGAGTTAGTACAATTTATTAGAAACACATAGGTTACAATAAGACAAAGATGTAACTCTACGGTAGCACAAAAAGAGCAAAAGATGGTAACTGAAAGATAAGATGCAGTAACTTAACACAGCAATATATGACTAAGCTGTGCAGATTACTCCAACTACCCATGGGACCCCGTGTGTTGTAGTGATTATATCCATGTAAATTAGTGTGCAGTGAAAAAGGGAGCTGAGTTGGAGTCAATTACCTAGCCCCTCTCAGCAAGTTATTCGACTAAGCACCCACCAACATACTTGATAAACATTCCAAATGCATAAGCAGATCAGCCAGCCTCACACTGTCAACAGGGAATCAAACTGAGCAAAAGTACTATCCGTAATAATAATAATAGCAAATAGTGAATTTGCATTGGATTTTCAAAGAACACCACCCTCAATTCATATCAGTGATACGGACAGTATTGAGAAATCCACTCACTTAACCTTCTGTTTTCTTACTTAACCTTCTATTTTCAGTTACTTTCAATTACAGCCTCTACTAGTTTTGGACTGATGGTTCCTAACTTTGCGAAGCCTAAATATCTCACAAGTTTGGACAATAGAAGCATAATTATATTCACAAACATTTGCTGGCTTTCAGTAGAGATCTGAATATTATCTCCAATATTTCCCTGTACTTGGCATCACTCTTGATATTTCTTTTATCATTAATTCCTCCTAACACCTTGAAATCTGCTAATTCTCATCTCTACTGCATTGTCGGCATCTATCACCTTAATTTAATCTTCATTAAAATCCTTCCTCTGTAAACCTACAATGATGCCTTGAGTTTTAATGTCAACCAACTTCCATGTTGCTGTACGTGACATTTCAAATAAAAAAGCTGGCTGTAGGAGGAGAATGCAAGGAAATATTCTTGAACCTTGAAAAGCAGTGAAAGATAAATACTGATTATTGTCTTTCTTCCTAACTGTCGTCTTAAGGACTTTCTCCTATTTCTAGCTCTCTTCAACTAGAATTGAAAAAAACACTACTGTTCAACTTTACTAATGTTCCCCTTAAACATATCAGAAAAGAGAACTGAATCTGTACTGTCCTCAATAAACTCTTTATTTCTTTTTTTACATTTTTTAACTTTGGCCTTGAAAATCCTCTATTTAATATTTCTAGACTTCTTAACTCCCTGTTCCTCAATTTGTCAAGTATTGACTTGCCTTTTGCTTTTTTCTTACAATGTTACCACTGTTGCAAGATTTATTTGTATCATAAGCACTACAGGGAAACCGTAGTTCTTTGGTAACCTTATTTCTTTTTATTAATTTCTGTCTCCTTTTGAAAACAGCATTTTGCCATGTCCTGCTGCTTCATTCTCTTCCACTTCTATTCCTTCTCTATTTTAAACTCACACTGTATTATAAACTGTTTGTGTAAAAATAAAATTTCAAAAGATCTGATTTTGTATAAGAGCTACATAATCACAGAAAACATTTTACTATCTTTCATTAGTTTTAAATACAGCGGTTAAAAAGAAGTGGACTGCACACCACAAAGCTAAGTACAGCAGGAGTCTGAGCTGTGTTTCAAAATCCATGAAAAATATTTAGCAAAAAAGAATGGTGTAAAGAAGCTCATAGATTAGAGAGACAATGTATATCCATTGATAGGGCACTGGCTTATGAGGAAAAAAAAATTTTATTTTTTTTAATACTCCCCACCGCTCTACTAGGTAGAGTCACTTCACTTCTCTGAGCTTCTGTCTCCTTCCCGCCTCTGTCTGGTCTACATCAATTGTAATTCTTGGGATCACTTCATATCAGATATGGGATACTAATCTCTTAGTCTCTACATAAAATTAAATACTGATATCAATAGACTATGAAAGAAAAGACCTTCCAATATTCAGATTGGTTAACTTAAATTATTTATTATTCATAAATAATAAAATTAGCCTATAACTCTTTTTAAAACTAGATAAATTCTATTGAAGTGAAAATGTAGTTATAAAGTAGACAGAGAGATGGTCAATTGCAAGGTCTTCCCCATTTCCTAAAAACCATATGTTGACTAGAACCACGTCTTTTTCAGGTTAAAAAGAACTTTCCTTGATATCTCTTCTCGTGAGAAATTTGCTTTAGCCATCTGACATAATGCTTGATACTTTAAATATATTCCAAATTAGGTATTAAAAGCATAAAAAGCACAGTTCTATAGGCAAAACTTTACTTGCAAATATAAATAAGAAAATGGAGAAATTAATTTAAAAACAAACAAAACCCCCTACATTTGTGCATTTGGTATGCACATTTGTAATCACAAAAGTATTCCTCTGGAAGACTTAAAAACTCAAAAATAATGCAGAAACTGTTTAGAATAAGCTAGGAGGTGACAATCTGAAACTAACCAGGTATTCTGGAATTTTCTCCGCTCTGTTTCACTGTAACTGACCAAAGGAGCATCTATGATTTACAGTTAAAGTTTTTTCAGCAGTGGAATGAAGTGGAGCAGCGTGAATTTCAGGAATGTTTGCTTTGACATCAGCATTATGAATATTAATGACTACCGTAAAAGAAAGCACTTAATAAAATGCTGCCCCCCTCCAACAACAAGTGACATTCAGTGACCTCGGTGCAAAAAAGAGAAAAATTAAAAACAAGCTCAGATTAAAAATTCATGAAAACGTTTCGAACACCGTAAAAGGAGAAGTTTCACATATGAATGGAATAAACACTTAACACTGTTTGAAGGCATGCGGCCTGGCATACTAAATACACATTTAGTTGAAAAAAAATTATGATATAAATTTATACAAACTGACAATGAACTATCCATAATAACAAACATACCCATGTTGGCTGCATCAACAGTTTGTGGTGTCTCTGTTGACAATTTCTGAAGGGCCAGTTCACCATCTGTCTTCTCTGGTGAGCTGTTATGTTGAGACTGCTGTTGGTCTTCATCTTCAGCAACAAATGAAATTACACCTAAAACAAATAGATACCAGGTGTTACATTAGCCAGAGCATTAGCTTTACAAAACAGACTGCCAGACATGTACAAGTATTTGCTCAGTTCAAAACTAACAAAAAATAAAGTAAAACTTCCACTCCAGGTGTCAGCATCCAATTATAATTTATGATAGTAAAAAATACATCTTGAGTCCAAGGAACTTAACCATTTTTTCTCCCAAAAGTGTTTTTCTACTTACTTGAACTAAAGATCGCTAATGAGAAATACAGGCAAACCCTTTTTAAAAAATATAAAATATAGCAGACAATAATAGTATCTTTCTTTCCAGTGCAATTTTCTATGCATAGCCTTGATTGTTTCTGTTATTTTTTTTAAATCACAGTGTCCCATTCTAGTATCATAAGATAATAAATGCCATAGTTAAAATTTTCCTGTGATGCATTTTTGTATTGTATGTGAAGTTGTAATAAAGTGTTTTGGGAAGAGAAATTACATACAGATTGTAAAAACAGGATTTTTAAACTGACATATTTCTACTGATAAAATAAAATCTAATAAAAAAATCTAGTATGTGCATGGTTCCTTTAAATACCGCTAATGTCTTTCTGGAAGATTTGATATATCAGCTTGAAATAAGCAGGTTTTATTTCTTGCATTATGTGACTCTGACTAAGAACTTCAAATCCACACAAGTTTTTGGAAATACTACATATTATTACTATTTTATCTAAATTACTGTCCCTCAATATTTCAATGAATTTTGGAGAGTTTCAAAACTGAAATAAATATATGTTGCAGGTTTAATTCTTGCTTCATATGTATAACGAAAATCTAATTTTGGGAGGTAACTTATTTTGTGATATTTTACAGTGAGAAATTTTCCCATTCCAGATCATCGGAATTTACGTGAATGGTCTCCCAAAGGGAACTTATGTAATTGTGTCTTATTAAGGGTTTGGGAAACTTATTCATAGTGGAGCTTTTTTAATTTGAAATGGAGAGATAATACAATTTTACAGCCCTCAACAATTTGATTTGAAAACACCTACTTTTAACAGTATTTTTTGTTTATCCAGGTTTTGAGTGGGACAGATGTGTGGTAACAGCTCACACGGCAGAGAGGACGCATTGTGCTCCCTGATTAGCTGAATTTAGCACCTTACTAGCAGGAACAGCTAAAGCTAAATGGCAAGGCTCATGTGGGACCTGGAAAAGGGAGCAGCAGCGAGGAGGAGAGACGGCACCACACCACACGAGTCACAAAAACTGGCTCAGAAAGACACCGTGACTTCAGCAGCCAAGAGCTGATCAAGCTTCCTGTGCACATACCTGTACACACCTGTCCCATTTACAGTCCTCATGGCTCAGCTTTGCTTCCCTTAACCACAGACTTCTGCATAAGGCTGCATTCATGCTTCTGACCATTCTAGTTTCATTTCATTTCAGGAGGGATCAATCTTCATAAAATGGGCTCACAGTTAGTTTTGATAATCATATTAAGCTAGAAGTGTATTAGTTTTAAACAAAAAAAAAGAAAAAAAGGGGGAAGATAAAATATAACTAAAGCCAAACACTACCAGGAAGTCTTCAAAAAGCAAAAGTTGTTCCTGATACACTCAACGGTAGCTAGGCCAGGTGACAACATCAACACAACAAATACTGACAAATTATTTCTGCTAAAAAGGATTACATTGGATCGTTACAAGCAAGCAAGGTTTATCATCTTCACATTACCGCTGTCTATCTTTCCCTGAGAAACAGTAACAAGGTAGCACAGGTATAAAACACTGAAGTTGAAAATAACAGAAAAAAAATGGAAATAGTTTTAGACTTAAATCCAGAGAAAGGAACTACATCATTTTAAATTGAAAAATATTAAAATCGCAGATTTTCTTCCCTTTATTAAGAAAAATCTATAAAAATAAAAACACAATAAGGAAATTAAAATAAATAAAATGAAAACCAAAAAATTTCACTAGAAAATTTTTTAAAATTTCTAAAATTAATCACAGTATGGAGCCAGAAATTGTGTCCAAGTAAGCAGGAAAGTGATTGAAATTTCAGGAAATTATTTAATATTTTGTAAAATTGTTCAAAGAGAAAGTAGATGTTTAAGTACAACAGAAAAATAAAACCATTATGGAAAGCTCAGGCAAAAGAAGTCTGAAGAAAATGTTCAAGGTATATAAATATTGATGTAAGAGAACATATTTGATGGCATTAATACCTAATGGATCTTAGGACAAATACTAATTAATCTGATTTTATATCTCAATACATAATCCTAGTATAATTTTGGTCTACTGGAGCACTATATTAAAAGGAAGTAAAGTGCAAGAGAAGGACGTCATTGATTTTAAATAACATCCTAACCACCAATATACTTGAAAGACATCAACAATTATAAGGAAATTAGTCAAAAAATGTAAAATTATAGCTTTAAAGTTGATGAAAAATACTTGACTAAACGCTGAAAATCACTAAACTCATAAATTCTAAAGCCTCCTTACAGTAGGAAATATTTTGTTACGCTTCATTTTAAAATTTAAGTAATTTTTCCATACAGATCTTGCTTCCAATTACAAAGGAGGGTTTTCTTTACCAACTGTCTGTATTTCAGAATGTTGTACTGTGCATATGTGCATGTGAATGAAGGACAGAGCACGAGTGTTCACACTGTAAAAATTTTTACTTCATCACTAAGTAAGGGGATGGTAAAACAAACAGGAACTTTTTTTCATAGAATCGCAGAATGTTACGGGTTGGAAGGGACCTCTGTGGGTCATCTAGTCCTACACCCCTGCTGAAGCAGGGTCACCTACAACACGCTGCACAGGACCTTGTTCAGGTGGATCTTCAATATATCCCCAGAGAAGGAGACTCAACAGCCTCCCTGGGCAGACTGTTCTAGTGCTCCGTCACCCTCAAAGTGAAGAAGTTTTTCCCCATGTTTAGACGGAACTTCCTATGCTTCAGTTTGTGCCCGCTGCCCCTTGTCCTGTCGCTGGGAACTACTGAAAAGAGTCTGGCCCCATGTCCACTTGACACCCACCCTTAAGATATTTGCAGGCATTTGTAAGGTCCCCTCGCAGCCTTCTCTTCTTCAGGCTGAACAAGCCCAGCTCCCTCAGCCTTTCCTCGTAGAAGAGATGCTCTGTTCTCCTCATCATCCTCGTAGCCCTCCGCTGGACTCTCTCCAGTAGCTCCTCATCTTTCTTGAACTGGGGAGCCCAGAACTGGACACAGTACTGCAGATGGGGCCTCACTAGGGCAGTGTAGAGGGGAAGGAGAACCTCTCTCTGCCCAACCCCCCAGCCTGTTCAGTTCTTGCTGAATGGCAGCACAGGCTGCCGGTGTATCCACCACTCCTCCCAGTTTAGTATCATCTGAAAACTTGCTGAGGGTACACTCTAACTCTTCATCCAGGTCATTGATGAAGAAGTTGAACAAGACTGGGCCCAGTACTGACCCGTGGGGGACACCACTAGTTACAGGCCTCCAACTAGACTCAGTGCTGCTGATGACAACCCTCTGAGTTCGGCCATTCAGCCAGTTCTCAATCAAAATAATTGGCTGAAGAACTCTGAATAATTAATTTCTATTTGCAGCAAATCTTGGAACGCTTGAAAAGTTCCTGAACTGTAAATTGCTAATGCTCGAGAATGTTTCAAGAGCTAGTGAAAGAATTATGGTAACTAAAAACTACTTGAATTGCTAAACCACTGTACTGATAATCCAGCAAACACATGGTCAGAAAATCAGTGAAGAATCACACCATAACAGCTGACACTCATTTTTCCTTGTTTATGGAAAACAGATCTTTAACAAACAGAATTAATAACAATGAGGTTAAAATCTTGATCAATAAAAACAACTGCATTGATGTAATGTATTCACATCTCTACAAGGCACTCATTTAAATCTGTCAAAGTATTTCAATAGAAAATAATCACTTTTACTACACGTCATACATTTTTAAAACCAGTTTATCTGCTTAATCTTAAAATATTCATAAATTGTCTTTCATCATTTTCATGGGCACTAAAGTATCCACTACTGGCTCAAAACTATTTAAATTTTTTATAAAGGGAAAAAACGAAAATCATTGCTGGCAAGAACTGCAAATAACAAACACCTCCCCCCTCACCATGTTTCAATTTCAAGTCAAGTATAGAATGCAGAATCCTTATCAGTGAGGACACTTTGTATGTAGTATACTCTGTTTGACTTGAGTCTTTAAATTGAGGTAGGATATTTTCCTAGGAAGTATTCCTAAACAGAATGCTTTCCTGGTTCAGGAGTGCATGGTGCAATCCAATGACCACTACTGCAGATTAAGGTAGCTGAAGATACATAAATATATGAATTTATTCAAACTACAGGCTACAAAAAAAAAAAAATCCATTCAAAAGGTGTTTTGCAGGATGGGAAAGAGAGTTTTATACAATGAAGAGTAAAATAAGTCCTTAGCATCCTATGAAGTAATAAATAATACACTGAAAAGGTGCAGAAGCACTGCATCAAAAATAACAGATTTAAAACAACAAACAAGCATGTTTACCTTTTTTCATAAGGTTCTCATGAGCTTAGCTCCTATTTATGAGAGGGCTTTGATACAGGAAGTTTGAGTCTTTTGGCTGTGAATGCCCTGTCTTCCTACAGAACCCACTGTTGCTTACACTGCCTTCAGCAGAGGCAGCAGTATCTTACGCTACCTTATCGATGTTACAAAGCAATTGATAAATGATAATTTGCTCATGAATAACAGTCCCCAGTGTTCATGGGTTTGTCTTGCGTCTCGTTACTCAGTCCTGACTTCCGTGTCATACGTTATATAACAATGTAGCTTGTCATATTATCATGCCGACAATTTTTAAAGTGTATATTCAAAAAAAACCAAGACTTATGTACAACAGAGATATAATTCCCACTGATTCAGTTGGCCACAGAATTATGCCACCATTAAGTGTTAGAAAATGTCACTCCTCAGCTGCCCTTTGACATATATATAAAAC